CTCATTAGCTACAATGTCTCTACTCTTCCTCCCTTTTACAAAATCACATGCAAAGTTCAAGATTGTGGTCCACATTTTTTACCCACACACACAAATTAACTTTAGAGTCTCTAAAAGGTCCTACATTTTCCTTAGTTGTATACTTGGTATTTATGCATTTGTAAATAATGTGTTCTCCCCGATTTTAATATACAATTATTTTTCCATGTTTGTTCTCTGTCCCTTCTTTTCCAAATTTGCTTCTAGATTAAATTAGAAAGTCTCAAGTATTCTGAAGGTTAAAGATTCCCTATTTGTCTTACCTTACCTTTTCTGGGCAGCACAGTGGCTCCTGTTGGCTGTTTTCTGGGTGGCTCACAGTGGCACTGCTGCCTCACAGTGCCAGGGACATGGGTTCAATTTCACGCAGGCGACTGTCTGTGTAGCATTTGCACGTTCTACCTGTATCTGCGTGGGTTTCTGCTGGGTGCTCTGGTTTCCTCCCACAGACCAAAGAGTTGCAGGTTAGCTGCATTGGCCACGCTAAATTGCCCATAATGTCTAGAGATGCGTAAATTAGGTGGATTAGACATGGGAAATGCAGGGTTATAGGGAAAGGGTAGGGGGATTGGTCTGGATGGGATACTCTTCGGAGGAGTGTTGTGGACTTGGTGGGCCAAATGGCCTGTTTCCACACCATAGGGATTCTATGTTCTATGCTTCCTGATATCCAAGAGGCTGTAGATTTGAGTATCTAAACATTCACTTTTGTGGGACTACATATGCCCTGAATCGTTATTATCTCCTACTTGGCTACTGATTGACATGATTTGCTGAAAGTAACAATCTGCACCCCACTTTTGACATATCACATTGAAGCATAATAAAAATCAGCTTTTATCAAATTGGGAAATTTTACAATAATGCAAAATCTAATTGATGTATGCTTACTACCATCGAAATGCTCTCTCAAAAACACCCTTTTCATTCCCCCAATTCATTTCTGGAAATTAAGCCCAAAATTGACCCATCTTTTGCTGTGCTTGCTCCATTTGGACTAATAAAAATCTCCTGAATACAAAGAATTCCATGCTCTCTATACGTTTTACAGTGATTCTCAGTTAATATCCAGGTCATGGGTGACTCCTACCTTCTATTCTGCCCCATAGGTTGTGAGAAGTTCATTTGCAAATGTACCTTTCTACCTCAATAAAAACCGAAAGAACTGCAGATGCTGTAAATCAGGAACAAAAACAAAGTTGTTGGAAAAGCTCAGCAGGTTTGGCAGCATCTATGAAGAAAAAATCAGAGTTAATATTTCAGGTCCAGTGGCCCTTCCTCAGAACTGACAGTGGCTGGGAAAACATCAGTTTACATATAGAAAATAGGGAGGTGAGTGGGGTAGGGAGTAAACGATAGGACTAAAGTGCTGAAAGAGAGAGAAGCACAGTTGGACAGACAAAGGAGTTGATAACGATCAGGCTGGGAGGGTAACAAGTTGTAAATGGGGACTATTAGTGACTAACAACAGGTGGTGGTGTGTACTAGCAGCCTATGTGGTAACAAGGTCTGGTGTGTGGGGTAGGGTGCTGGGACATGGGAGAGTTTAGGCCCTAAAATTATTGAACTCGATGTTGAGTCTGGAGGGCTGCAGTGTCCCCAAGCGGAAAATGCAGTGTTGTTCTTCCAGCTTGCATTGAGCTTCGCTGGAACACTGCAGCAAGCCAGAGACAGAGATGTTGGCCAAGGAACAGGGTGGTGCGTTAAAGTGGCAGGCAACGTGTAGTTCGGGGTCTTTTTTGTGAGCAGAACGCAGATGTTCTGCAAAGTGGTCACCCAGTCTACGTTTTGTTTCCCCAATGTAGAGGAGACCACATTGTGAGCAACGAATGCAGTAGACTAGCTTCTGGGAAGTGCAGGTGAAGTATTGCTTACCTGGAAGGTATGTTTGGGCCCTTGGATACTGGAGAGGGAGGAGGTAAATGGGTAGGTGTTGCACCTTCGCTGGTTACAGGGGAAGGTGCCGTAGGGCTGTGGGGGGGTGGTGGGGGTGATGGAATTGTGGACCAGGGTGTCCCAGAGGGAACGGTCCCTGTGGAAGGCAGACAAGGGAGGGGAGGGAAGGGGAATGTGTGTTTGGTGGTGGCATCTCGCTGGAGGTGGCGGAAATGGCATCTGACGATCTTCTGGATGTGGATGCTGGTGGGATGGCCACCCAACACCACCCTCCTCCACTTGGCTGAGCTCGTCCTCACCCTCAACAACTTCTCTTTTAACTCCTCTCATTTTCTCCAGGTAAGAGGGGTGGCCATGGGTACCAGCATGGGCCCTAGTTATGCCTGTCTCTTCCTGGGGTACGTGGAACATTCCCTGTTACAGTCCTATTCTGGCCCCCACCCATAACTCTTTCTCCGATACATCAATGATGTCATCGGTGCTGCTTCCCTCTCTTGTCTGGAATTGGAAAAGTTCATCGATTTCGCCTCCAATTTCCACCCTGCCCTCACTTTCACTTGGTCTATCTCTGACTCCTCCCTTCCCTTCCTCGACACTTCTGTTACATTTCTGGGGTCAGACTGGCCATTAATATCCACTATAAACCCATTGAGTCCCACAGCTACCTGCACTATACATCCTCACATCCTGCTTCCTGTAAAGACTCCATCCCATTCTCTCAATTCCTCCGTCTCCATTCTATATGTTCAGATAAGGCCAACTTCAACAAGGGAGCCTCCGAAATGTCCACCTTCTTCCTCAACTGAGGATTCCCAGGTACCACTGTCGACAAGGCCCATAACTGGGTCCGACCCATCTCCTGCACTTCCAACCTTACCCCTTCTGTTCCCTCCCGCAACAACGATAGGGTTCCCCTTGTCCTTACCTACCATCCCACCAGCATCCACATCCAGAAGATCATCAGATGCCATTTCTGCCACCTCCAGACATATTTCCCTCCCCTCCTTTGTCCCCTTTCCGCAGGACTGTTCCCTCTGGGACATCCTGGTCCACATTTCCTTCATCCCCAACACCCCACCCCCACCACAGCCCTATGGCACCTTCCCCTGTAACTGGCGAAGGTGCAACACCTGCCCATTTACCTCCTCCCTCCCCAGTATCCAAGGGCCCAAACATACCTTCCAGATAAGCAACACTTCACCCACACTTCCCGGAATCTAGTCTACTGCATTCGCTGCTCACAATGTGGTCTCCTCTACATTGGGGAAACAAAACGTAGACTGGGTGACCGCTTTGCAGAACATCTACGTTCTGCTCACAAAAAAGACCCCAAACTACATGTTGACTGCCACTTTAACGCACCACCCTGTTCCTTGGCCAACATCTCTGTCTCTGGCTTGCAGCAGTGTTCCAGCAAAGTTCAACGCAAGTTGGAAGAACAATACCTCATCTTCCACTTGGGGACACTGCAGCCCTCCGGACTCAATATTGAGTTCAATAATCTTAGGGCCTAAACTCTCCCATGTCCCAGCCTCCTACCCCACACACCAGACCTTGTTACCACATAGGCTGCTAGTACACACCACCACCTGTTGTTAGTCACTAATAGTCCCCATTTACAACTTGTTACCCTCCCAGCCTGATCATTATCAACTCCTTTGTCTGTCCAACTCTTCTTCTCTTTCTTTAGGCACTATCCTATCATTTTCTCCCTACCCCACCCCCCTCCCTATTTTCTGCATATAAACTGACGTTTTCTCAGCCACCATCCATTCTGAGGAAGGGTCACCGGACCTGAAACATCAACTCTGATTTTTTTCTTCACAGATGCTGCCAGACCTGCTGAGATTTTCCAGCAACTTTGTTTTTGTTCCAACTTTTCTACCTCCTTTTGTCTGATAAATGTAGAAAATCAGGTCTCCAGCTAAATGAATTACGATAAATTGGATTGTTAATTAATGATAATATCATTAATTACCTTACTGTAAATTATTTCACTGTAATCACATATGAATTCTTATGAAGGCAGTTGTACCATGTATATGATACAACAGATCACTGATAGAACAAATACCAAGTGAAATTCTGAGACAGTCTTGTTGTCAAATCAATGACTGGAAATGATCTGCACGTACCTGGCTAGATACACTAGCAAGCATGGTATTTTTCCATTATCCAGATTTATCCCTGGCTAAATCTTATAATTCTGCCAGAACGTGCACACTAGTGGTTCACTTTCTGGTTTAGTGTCTGCTTCATCTGGAGAATGATTCTATGAGCTAGTATGCAGCACACAAACTAGGTTACCAATTCAATGCAGTACTGAGGAGTTGCTACACTTTCAGAGGTGCTATCTTTTGCATGAGACATTAAAATAATTACTTCTCTATTGGTTCAGTCAGACACAGAAGCTTCCTTTCAGGGTCTAAAAACAATAGGAGCTCTGATGTTCTAGTCAGTTTAAATCGCAGTAACTAATTTGTGATGTGACTGTTGTAACTTACTGTGCATAGAATGTGTTGCTGCATTTTCCTACATAAGTGACCAAACATCAAATGTAATTATTAGTTTGGATACTTTGAGAAGTTCTGAAGGTATAAATTATTTAAATACAATTTCTTCTTTTGTTCAATATAGTTATGTTGATCCCTCATTAGGAACCTAAGCAGCCAAAAAATAATCCAGCCAACATTTATTAGTTCTAATTCTTTTGCCTTATTTTCCTCTGGATATTTCTAGCTTATATTGAGTTGACTGAAGTCAACATTATTGTAAGTACTCTTCTATCCTAATTGTATAACGTATAATCACCACCCTTACCCTGCCCACAAGTTATAATAGATTCATTCTGTTCATCATATCTTCAACCTGGCTAAGCCTATTTCATCCTATGTGGTTTATGTGTTGCATGTGTGGCATGTGATATGCGCAGAATGTGGTGTGATGCATGCGTGGAGTGCATGTGTCTCGTGTGTTTATTGGTCATGATTTATACTGGCTACTAATGTGGAATAGACTAAAGATGGCACTGAGTAGTTCTAGGAAAAGTATACTGTACTACTTACTTTGTTAATTCATGGTCTGAGAGAAGCTGCTTGAGATGTCTGGACAGCAGTTTCTTCTCCATAGAAAGTCTCACCCAAGCTCGAGCTTTTCCCACATCAGTTTTGATCTCACCAATGTTTTGGATGTGTCTGAAATAGGAAAAAAATTTCAGACAGTAGGTCAACCTATTCCACCCTGCTTAACTCAATAGCATATGGACTGCAGTGGTTAAAGAAAGCAGCTAACCACCCCATTCTTAAGGTTAACTATGGCAATAAATGCTGGGCCAGCTAGTGACACCCACATCCCACGAATGAACTTTCTTTTTAAAAAAAAGCCCAGTTTTGTATCTCCAGTTGTTCAGTAGATTTCTCAAGAAACACAGATCGCAGGTTCTAACCGAATTAATGGGGAGAAAAATAATTAACAGACTGAAAACAGATATTTAAAAAATCCTCATTTTTACCAAAATAAAACAGAACATCACTACCAAAAAACTTTTCAGCCATTTGTAGCCCATGTGAAACCAATAATCTAAATGAAGGAACTATAAATCCTGTAACTAATTTATCAGGTACATGAATAAGAAAATTTTAGTTTCTTTTTTAAATAAATAGCAACCTACCAAAACAAGAATATTCATTGAATCAATTTCAAGCTGTAAATTCTCCAGCCAGTACAGCTTTAAATTTACTGAATGGTTTCCACATTAATTTCTATTAGTCTATCATTTCCAAATTATGGCATTGCATTTATTATTGTTAAATTCAATGATCATACTGTAAATATATCAACACTAATAACTTGCTGTTGCACATGATGATTCTGAAACCAAATCGACTTTTCCACAATGACTTCAATTCAATCAGCAACACCATGACTCCACTCTGCGTTAAACACCTTAGCTTATTAAACAGAACAACCTCATTACAGACATGTACAATTTGATCAATGTACTAAATTGTAAATTGTTATTGGTATACAAACCAGTATACAACATTTCTTCCTTTCAAAAACAAAATCGGCTTTTATATCTGCTTATAACAGGACAGTTGATAATTAAATATTTTTGTGTTTCAGTTTGCAGTATGCTTTTAAGTTCTCATTATCATTTCACTAACTGGTGGAATCAATCTATCACTATTTACCCTGTCACAAATCTCGGTAATTACAAACATTTTTATTCTGTAATTACAAATGTTTCAACTCAAATGAAGAAAACTCCAATTTTTCAAATCTCTCTTCTCTCATCTCTGGTTACATCTTAGTGAATACACATTAGATCCTTTGAATTGCTTCTACAACATCCTTATAATGAGGTGTATCAAAGAAATCCTCAACTGTGGCCTAAGGTTCTGTTCTACCATCCTCCTTCGGTACACTAGGCAAAAAGAAAATCCATTTTTATAATGATCCCTATCATCAGTGTCTCTAACCAATTTAAAATCATATCAGTTAAGAGTACTCCGTATCCCTGTTGCCACTTTCAAAATATAATCCTATAGAATTGCATCTCAATACCTTATTCAAAATCATATTTTGGTGTGTGAAATACTGTTCACCATATTACAATCAGAAAATGCTTTTACTATGCCATTTTCCACTAGAAGTTGGTCTCCTTCAGCTCTTTCTACATTCCTTACTTCACCATTCCATCCCTCCCAAAGAAAATCCAATTAAAGGGTAATTACTTTTTAATCAAAGCTGAAATGTAAATCATCTGACTGCCATTATTTAAAAAAAACTCATTTCCTTATAAATGACATCACTACCAGTTCAAAGTTTCAATATGTCAGCAATACATGCTTAACAGGAAGATAATCCGAAATGGAAAATCTTAAATTTAGATAAATGGATTCAGGCACTCATTATTTATACCTCTGAAGGATTAGTGTTAACCAGGTTGGAAGTAATGGAAAATCTCTGTGGCAAATTTATTTTTTCTCTTGCTTAATGTACTTCCCAGTTGTCATTGATGTTAATCAGTCAGTCTGACAAAGTACTGAAATGGTGATAGAGCAGAAACATACTCAGGCAGCAACTACTTGTAACATGAATATGCTTTTCTTTTGTATATTTCTCTCCTCACCTCCTGGCGGTATTTACTACATGTTTGATGTGCATCTTCCACTGGTGGTGATGTATGATGGTGATCATTCAGGATGTTCAAATTGCCATAGTAATGCATACTTCGCATGCATGTTATGAAGTTCATTCCAACTTTGACACAAGAAATATCTGATCTGGTCCTCCTCTGATAGCCACACTCGTAAACTTTATTATGTGTGCAAAAATTCTGGCATTCTTTCATTGTATTATTCTGCCATTTTTATGGGCAATTTGTTGCCCCAGCAATCAGCAATCCAAAACGGTCAGTCTTTACATACAGAATCAGATAATAAATATTAGCATGCTACTTAATCATTGTAAAGACCACTTTTGTTTGGGACGGTGAACTAAAATTTAAACCAAAGAAACTATGGAAGATGATGTTACAGTTTTAAAGATGAACTGCTGGAACTCATTATGTGTCGTATCTACAGTATTGCCTTATTCAACAGTGGGGTAGGATGCTAGACAACCCAGGGGGATGGGATAGGGAGGAGGGGTGTTTGTGTCTAAATGTCTCTGTTGTAGGACTGCTTTGCCCAGAGACTGTCCTTCAATTGGTTTTTCAATTGACCGATTGTTATGGCCTCAGGAGAGCTCAGCATCAACTACGTCAGTTCCTGAACTGATAGCTACAGGCCTTGGGTTGGGACAATACAATAGAAATATCCAGTCTGTGAAGAGAAAGCATACACCTCTCTCTCAGCATTACCTTCTAGGAGCAGAAACAGCCAGACCTGTGGGGGACACCTACAGAGAGTCATTGACTCACTCACAATTTGAAAAGGCTGACAAAAGCAGCGAGCTGGATGCTCCACTATAGGGAAAGGGAGCTTTGTGGTGAAGATTAGTGGCATGCCAGAAGATTGGGAAACCTTTAAAAATCAACAGAAAATAATGTGAAAAGTAGTAAGGGGTGAGAAGATGAAATATGGGAGTAGCTAGTTAGTAATATAAAAGAAAATTGCAAGAGTTTTTTTAGATATCTAAAAGGTAACAGAGAGGCAAGAGTGGACATTGGACCACTGGAAAAGAAGGCTAGAGAAGTAGTAATGGGGAACAAAGAAATGGCAGAGGAACCGAAGAGGTACTTTGCATTAGTTTTCACAATGGAAGACACCAGCAACAAAGCAGAACTTCGAGAGAGTCAGGGGGCAAATGTGAGTGTAATGGCTATCACTAAGCAAAAAGTGCTGGTGAAGCTGAAAGATATGAAGGTAGATGAATCACCCAGACCAGAAGGACTACAGCCTAGAATTCTGAAGGAGATAGCTGAGGAGATGGTGGAGGCATCTTTCAGGAATCAGTAGAGTCAGGGAGGGTCCCACAGAACTGGAAAATAACTAACTTAACACCCCTGTTTAAGAAGGAAAGGAGGCAGAAGACAGGAAACTGTAGGCTGATTCACCTGACTGCTAAGATTTTACAGTCAAGAGAAGATCATGCCTGACAAATCTGTTGGAATTCTTTGAGGAGGTAACGATCAACTTAGATAAAAGAGAGCCATTGGACATGATCTCTTTCGACTTCCAGAAGGCCTTTGGCATTGTGCTGCACAGAAGGCTGCTAAATAAGATAAGAGTCCATGGAGTTAGGGGTAAGGTACTGGTATGAAGAGAGGATTGGTTGACTGACAAAAGGCAGAAAGTGGGAATGAAAGGGTCTTTTCAGGATCTCGTCCAGTGGAGCTCTGCAGGGGTCTGTGTTGAGACCACAGCTATTCACATTATACACCACAAGAAACTACAGAGAGTTGTGAATATAGCCCAGTCATCACCCAAACCAACCTCCCATTCATTGATTTCACTTCCCATTACATCGGGAAAGCAACCAACATAATCAAAGACCCCTCCCACTCCAGTTATACTCTCTTCCACGCTCTTCCGTCGGGCAGAAGACATAAAAATTTGAATGCACATACAAACAAATTCAAGAAGAGCTTCGTCTCCATTGTTATCAGACTTTAAAATGGACCTCTTAACTTTTAATGTTGATCTCTCTCTGCACCTTCATGGCAGCTGTAACACTGCACTTTGTTCTGTTGCACTTGTATAATACAATCTGCCTGTAAAGCACGTAAGACAGCACTTTTCACTGTACCTCTGTAAATGTTACAGTAATAAATCAAATCAAATCATAAATCACAATCAGGACAAAGGAACTAAAGGCATTGTTGCGAACTTTGCAGATGACATAAAGATAGGTGGGGGGCAGCTAGTATTGAGGAAGCATGAAGAAGCTTTAGATGTTTTGAACACTCTTGGAAAGTGGGCAAAGACGTTGCAGATGTAATGTGGGAAAGTGTGAGGTTATACACTTTAATAAGAAGAATAGAGGCTTGGGCTATTTTCTAACTGGGAAAGGCTTCAGAAATCTGAAGCACAAAAGGGACTTAGAAGTCCTAGTTTAGATTCTCTTAAGGTTAACATGCAGGTTCAGTTGGCAGTTAGGAAGGAAAATCCAATGTTAGCATTAATTTAAAGAGGGCTAGAATGCAAGAACAGAGACTTACTGCTGTGGGTGTACAAGGCCTTGGTCAGACAACATTTGGAATATTGTAAGCAGTTTTAGGCCCTGAATCTAAGGAAGGATATGCTGGCCTTGCAGGGGGTTCAGAGGAGGCTTACAAGAATGATCCTGGGGGTGACGGGCTTGTAAGTGAAGAGCAGTTATGTACTCGGAGTTTAGAAGGATGAGTGGTGATCTCATTGAAATTACAGATTACTGAGAGGCCTGGATAGGATGGATGTGGAGAAGATGTTTCCTCTAGGAGGACAGACTGTGACCTGAGGGCGCAGCCTCAGAGTGAAGGGATGACACTTTAGAACTAAGATGAGGAGGAATTTATTCAGCCAGAGCATGGTTAATCTGTGGAACTCATTGCTGCGAAGGTTGTGGAGGCCAAGTCATTGAGTGTATTTAAGAGAGAGATTGGTTCTTGATTGGTAAGGGGATCAAGGATAATGGCAAGCAGGCAGGAGAATGGGGTTGAGAAATATATCAGCCATGATTGAATGGTGGAGCAGACTGAAGCTGAATG